CTTAAGTATCATGCCTTTTTCACATTGATTTTAAATGTTCTTGAAAACTCGAATATACTTTATAGAACCCCTGAGCAAAATGTGCATTCTTTCGAGCCTTCTATAGAGAATCGCGTCATCATTATATTTTATACTGGAAGAAGGAGTACAATACTATTTTAAACATTTTCAATTATTAGGTTTTCTAAAACCGTTTAATGTCCACTCATACAGCATCATGCCTGTCCGTTTACCACTGCTACTCATGAAATGAACAACATGGACTTCATCCGTTGCGAGATTCTAAGGATTCAATTTCTTATCTTTTTAAAGGCACAGAATTTTTGATTTTCTTTACACAGAACGCATGCACCATGCAGACTGAAATCCCTAAGCGCTAGTGCAACGTTTGGTCAGGCTCTAAATTATTCGAGAATCAGGAAAATTTTTTAAACCACATTACACTTCTTCTTTGAGTATAAAATAAAGACGGCGTAACTCTCTATCAAAAGACTGAAAGAAAGCATATTTGTGTTCGCGGTTTCTATAAATTATATTTGAATACACAAGACCATTGAAAATCAATGTAAAAAGGCATGGTACTTAAGCAGTAATTTTTCCCAATTTCGGTTTCTACAGGAGATAAAAAGCAGTGCATTCAAAAGTTGGCATCCTCGCGAGTCCAAAATATTATAGGATTGTATTGCAAGATAATCAACATCACAACCGCGCCCAAGTTATCCTTCCTAATCGGAAACGCTTTTCAGAATTACGGCCAACATTTCATGAGATCGGCCGCTCACTGTATAAGAGTGCATAAGGAAGAGGGGTATAAGAAGTGGAGAAAAGAATAAAATGACAAAAAAACAAAAAAATCAGCATATTTGTATTCACTGTGAGTAGAAACCCCAAAATCAAACTTTCCTTGAGTTAAAAATCTTCCTGTCTTTTGTCAGTTCCCTTTGACTTAGGCAAAACGTTTTCGAAATGATTAAGATCGAGGCTGTTAACAAGGACAAAACGAGTTTGGAGACCGTAGGCGAAGAGACTGTCTATTGTGTAAAAAACAAGGTTACAGTTACAAGCACTATCGTCATCAAAAATACTTAAAGCAATGGGCCGGGGCATTGTCGGCGAGAGCTGTTGTAGCCCAGACATCCTCCATAAGGTCGATGAACACCTTGTCAGTTGTCAACCACCAGACGGGTTGCTATCTGAATTTGCTAATCAGTCATCTACAGTTCTTTAATGCGCTCCCTTAGAAGGTTCTGTCTACAAATGACCACCAGAATAGTCTTCGTGGGCTTATTTAAAAATTGGACTCCGTCGCAGGAGTGAATGCCGTTCTAAAATTAGATTTGTAGTCGAAGTAATTTTTGGCGGATGAAAAATGTTCCCTGCTCGATATCCCACTTAGAAGGAGTTTGATTACGGCATTTCGCTGGTAAGGGTTGAATTCCTTTACCACTTTTCTAAGTAGTTTCATAGAGAACGTCGTCAAATGCTCCCTGTGAATGATGTCAATGACCATATAATGAACTGAATGCTCCGACAGTTTTGGCTGTGGAGAGTTGCTGTACTTGTAGATGAAGCGTGCAGGATATCCGCGCCCAAGCAGAGTTTATTTTAGGCGTGAAAGTTCTGCATTCACCACTTCGGTAGAACAAATGTTTTTTTAAATTTTGGAAACAAATGTATATCAAGTAACGTCCACATTGAATGGGTACAAAGTTCAAGGAATACAAGTATTGTCTTCTCCAAGTATTCCTATGGAAAACGGTTCGCCTTATGGAGCCGTCTTTCTGTCCAAACACAAGAACGCCCTGGAAGGATAGCTGGTTATCTTGTTCTTTTTCCATTGTGGATTTAACCTTTGGCTGTATTTTATTCACAGTAGTAAGCAATTCTCAGCTTCTTCAATGTCATCAACAATAGCAAATACATCATCCACCTATCTTTTATAGGGTGCTGTCACGTTTAATTTCGAGGACGCATTTTCATCTATATGACCCATAAATATATCAGTAAAGGTCAGACCAAGGGGACTTCCGATTGCCACTTCGTCAATTTGTCTGTAAAGTTGGCTGTTAAAAAGAAAATGAACGTTATTTGTGCATCATTTTAGCGTTCCTCGTAATATTTCAGGTGACAACAAAAATCAGAAAAGTCCATCGATTTTGCGAGACAAGATCTTCAAGCACATGGTCAGATACTGCGTAATTTAATTTGTGTCAGACTTCATATAACACTGATTCCTGCAGGAAATTTAATGAAAACGTATTCAAAAAATAATTTTCCAAGCATTTTGTGCCCATATCGTTTTGCTTAGTTAGATTTATAAATAAATAGAAATTATCTATGCCCAAAATTCAAGTCTAATCCTGTGACACGAATTGTCTTGTTTTTAGCATTGACACTTTCCTTAAAAAAGAATTCTTTCTCATCGACAAAATAGAATTTTTCCATCAGGCCTATCGCATCTGCAACAGTGACGACTTACTTAAGAAACAATTGGCCTACTTACATCGGTTATTCCGCTCCAACGAATGTCCTGCCAGTTTTGTAAAGAACTGTCTCAGACGCCAGAGACAACTACTAAACCCCGAGTCCATGAAGATAGAGCGTCTCAGAAATTCTATTCACTGACGTGCATTCAGGGAATCTCTGAAGCACTCTTCCGGCAACTAAAACGCTTTGGCATCTCCATTGCCCATAAGCCCGCATCTTCCCTACGCGAGACATTATGCTGATTAAAGGACCCCGAGCCTAAAGAACAACTAACTAACGTCATCTACCGCATAGCGTGCGCCAACTGCCCTTGTGTTAATATTGGCCATACAGTCCGATGTCTTGGGACTCGCATTAACGAACACAAGTTAGTCCTCCGCCGAGGTGACCCTCTGTCCCTCGTGTTCTTGCACGCCCTTGAGCATGACAACCGCTTCAATTGGGACGGTACTGAAGTGATCGCAAAGGCTATCACCAGACAGGCGCGAGAATTACTCGAAGCTTGGCATTCTGTCACGACCAGCATCAACCGCCACGTCGATCTAGACGCTCACTACGAGGGCTTACGTACACGCTCACTGTCCTGTTCCTACACCCCAACAACTGCTAACCACTCGGCCACGTAGACGTATGCTGTTTCGCCATTCCGCTCCCCCCTTGCGACACGGCGAACAACTACCGAAACCCCCCTAACACCTCCAACGCCGGCGCATTGTCCCCTGACCCCATCCCGCATCAGTGACCAGCCGCCCGCATTCCCACTGATTCGCAATCCCCCCGCATTTTACCACCAACACTGGGAGCGCTAACGGTTCTTCCTTTCCTCCCCCTGCCCCACGGCCTACCATAACTAGGTGCCCACCCCTCTCACACATCAGCTGTCTGTTTGTCGTTGCCTGTCCTGTGGCGCCAGCCGACTTAGTCTGCCGATTTCACTTTCCCCTGTGTTAATTTCGTCTGTCCGACTTGAAAATTTACGAGTACATCTTAATTTTCCGAAGAGCCTTCACTTTCTCAGCATTTGTAATATTTATTCTGCATGTCTATTGAACTGGAGGTCGTTCAGTATTAGTTTGATGCATTGGTTGACGCGTTCGAATTTGTCTGAGTGTTGTTAGTGAAGTTTCGTTAGACTGGGCATATTTGTTGAGTTGGGCCACCTACTCTTTTGAATTAAAAGTAGGACGGAAGGCAGTCGTTCCTAAAAATCGTCTTCATCAGCGCTTGCCACATATTGTGGTTGCGCCTCACTTTTAAAGTTGCAGCCACATAAATTATCCATCTGCAGATACAACAGAGACATTGGCATCTCTTTTGGCTAGATTAGATCAAAAGGTCGCAATATATGCGCACAAGGCAATAAAGGGCACCCCATCAACTAGAAGTCCAACAAGTTAGATGACGGCCCAGTCTGGTGTCAGGAGAAAAACGTTTACAGAATCACGACAGCCGCCAGCCTGGAGGTCTGATACCCCCACTCCCAATGGAATTGTATAAGTTGGAAGGGGCGGTGAACAACACATTTCATCTCAAATTAACCGTCCCGGTTTCGCGCTAGAAGCTAAAAATCCGCTTAAGAGAGACCAGAGAATGATAAAAAGGAAAATGGTCACGCGTAGAGGTGCTTACTTGCATGCCGAAATATCATTCCATTGAGTTACAGCGTATGTTCTGATATTGCTCAAGAGGCTAGGCTAAGATAACGCATTCCTATTAAAATTTCTTCTTTCATAGTTTGCAAGTAGAATGTGAAATTTTCTAGAAATCTCGGATTGTATAGCATAGATTTCTTTATTTGGAAGGACTAAATAAACCCATTATATGGTCTTTTGTCTCCTTAGACGCACTAAAGTTTTTAGTACGCGCTTCCCCCGGAATAGGTTTATGCTCGTTCTAACTTTACAATTTATAAGAGTCCGTTGGAAATTTTCACAGTGCGAATGTAGTAAACACTGTCATACACAATTGTTTCACAAATGCCAAACTTTTTTGCGTTTGTGTCCCACTATCAGATTTATGCATTCTGCTCACTAAAACTGCATGCAAAATGTTTGTAATTTAACTATTTTCCCTTACACCTGTACTATCTAAATGGAGTTTTCAGGACTTCTGTCGTTTACTCCAAATACACTAACCAAAAATGACTGAATAACTTGCCACACCTGTAAAACTAGTTTCATTCATCGGACGTAGTCCGTCTTCTGCAGACGCTTTTGTCTAAGCATGTGTAGTCGGATAATTCTAGAAAAATTGTATTTAAAAGCAAAACGAAAGATCGAATCTTTTTTAAAAAAATCGCTTCATATAAAACAGGTATGGAAAAACACAATTAAGAAAATGATATTGCAGTAGGGGCGTTGGGAATATACAATTGTGAAATATTCCATCATATGACAAACAATTCGATGATGTCTTGTGTATGTATGCTAACGGTCTCAGCTGTATAATTGTCATATAAAAGAAGAGCATTTTTACCCCCAGTATTCCGAGACACAGCTCTGTCCCTTTCGAGATCAAGAGTCTGCGAATCGTTTTGCCTGATGGTTTTGCACGCGCCAGAGTAGACACAGACTGAGGAGGCTGAAGAAGGTGAAGAAAAGGCAGAGTGAGAGGAAGAGACCCCAGGCGAAGAGTCGGGAGGCCAGACCCGAGGGACCGCAGCTCATGAATACCACTGATTTCACAGCGTAGTGCAGACTGCCACAGGGCAGGAGTCGCTGAGTCAGATTCGCAAAGGCCGCATTTCCAGTTTCATTGACGGAACCAAGGAGGGCAGTCACGAAAGCTTCGAAGGGCTTGTCGATAACGCCGGCGACGGAATCCTTGGTTGCCGTTAACTGAATGTGTGCAGAGAAATTACAGTTTGTCAGAGCACTTTTCGAACTAGATGGTCCCATTTAAAAAAGCGTTGGCTAACAAACAAGGGCTCATCTGCCAATAGATTCCAATTTTATGGATGCTTAGAATGTTGACAAAAAAGCACTTCTCCAAATGTTATGTAAGTAAGGAAACGCTCTTATGTCCCATTGGTTGAGTCTAGAGTGAAGGACTACTGCTCCCCTTTATAGGGGACGTTGTGTATGTATATTTCTTTGATGATAAGAGGAAATTCCCCGGCTTTCGTACTCCACACATGTTACGGCGGATATTCGAACAGGCGTTATGCACTCATTTTTGTGGTCCCATTTAAAAGTGGCATTTCGTGAACCATTAATAATTGATCTTTGTTACGGAACTCACTCGTCCCCTTGTGCCTTGCGGGATCTCTCTCCAGCCCAACCAGCAGCTGCACTGCGGCGCATGATATAGGCAGAATGTTATTACCGACAAAGGCAAGGGAGACAGGAATAGCCATTTCTGGCTTATTAGCCGTCGTTAGAAACGAGTTCGAGCTTCGGATGTTCGACACTTCGGGGTTGGGTATGACTGGCTGCCGACGGCTAATAAGCCAGAAATGAGCATTCCAGTCTCCCTTGTCTTTGTCGGTAATAACATATTGCGCCAGGTGGGTTTGTGCGCTTGTTTGTGTTTCTGGTCCCAGCTGCTGGTGGTCAGGGTTATAATTGGCTGAAGGAAGGCAGAATAAGCCCGAAACCCTACTGTATTAATTTACCCGCATGCTCTGTCGTCTCTCCTCACTGCTATACATAAGATAGAACCGACGAAGACAAGGGCGGCCATTTCTTGTTTACTGGCGGACGCCGGCCAGTCATACCCAATCTCGAGGTATACTGGTTGGACTCAAAAGATAACCTTAAGGCACAATGGAGCGTGTGAGTTCCGTAACGTGATCGGTGAGCGCTCTCTATCATTGTATATTCCTGATCGCAACCGACAGCGAAACGAATCCGTGGCTCAGTAGTTAGGAGCGTTCGGCGTCTGACAAACAGATCGCGGGATCAGGCCCCAGGTGTTTCAAATTTCGAGATTGTATTTAACTGGCTGACGACGACTAAAAGTCCGAAAATGGCCATTCCAATCTTTGTCGGTTATGTCATTCTGCCAATATATATGTTCTAAATTTCTCAGCTTTATCCCCAACGATCTATATTTCTGCTGTTTGGCAAATCATCAATGTCAAGTGTGTCAAAAAAGTTATTTTACGGACGTTCTGAAGGAGACTTTTAAGGTGTAATACTAAAACTGACATCTGACACGGTATGCAGCTTGCCTTTGTAGAAAGGTCCTGATCGACATCAGGCACACGCATTTTCGGTTCCTGAGGAGATAGATTTAATTCGGAACCCAACAGACTAATCGATTCCTGAAAGATCTACTGGTGTGTATTTTGTCATAAATTCATACCACATCAGGCGTCTTATTTAATTACGGTCAGAACGCTTCAAGATTATTCAATCTATTTTTTATCGATTTGCGCATAGGCTCGAGATTACACTTGGTGATAACCACGAAAATGTTTTAGATATCGACATTCACATATCCAAATATCTGCAGCTGTAATTTAATGCATTCAATGGTCTGTGGATAGCTTCTTTCGACATTTAATAAAACATTACACTTTTTCATTGACATTTTGGCAGATTTTGAATAATTCATATTGACCGGCGGGGCCTCGTAGCTCAGGTGGTTAGAGCGTTGGCTGCGCTAAAGCCTTCCCCTTACTGCGTGGGTTCGAATCCCACCGAGGCGCCGAGTTTTTCACAGTTGGGTCAATATGAATTATTCAAAATCTGCCAAAATGTCAATGAATTACGCGAGTCTGGTAGTCATCTGGTGGATTCTAGGTGGATTACTTAGGAAATCCTGCTTGGGCAGTCAACTTACTGTATCAGATTTGGTGGATTCCAGACGTTGCAGTAGGTTGGGCGGGTAACTTGACCCAAATGTGATTAAACTCGCGTCGTCCAGCGGGGCCTCGTAGCTCAGGTGGTTAGAGCGTTGGCTGCGCTAAAGCCTTCTCCTTACTGCGTGGCTTCGAATCCCACCGAGGCGCCCAGTTTTTCACAGTTGGGTCAATATGAATTACACTTTTTGTCAAATCAAATGGGCTTTACCGCTTCTTTTCCTGTCAAAACATCTTAGATTCCTGTGAATGCCTTGTATGATTTTAACAGGCTTGATTATTTATACAAATGTGAGTCGGAATGTCTCTTGTTTAAAAGCTAAGTGGTTTGCACATTTGGAAAGTGTGCTAGTTTTGCTTGCCACTACATGGCGATTGTCTCAAAATCTCACTGATTCCAACGTCACGTCAAGATGATGTGCAGAAATGGGTTCTGTACGTTGACCTCCCGGCTATTTGCTCTTTGATTAAAGTGTGCGTGCACAAACTGTACATTATAAATATTGATAATAGTTCAGATTTCTTAATTAGTAAAATGTATTGATCGGAGAAGAAGAAGTCTGCTTGAATTCCTCTCTGGGGCTTTCAAGGATCTGCATATAACCTCCAGGTACTGACCTACTTGTGACATGAAGTAGAGCACCAAGACTGTATAATAAAACGGAAACAGACTGAACTTAATTGCTTTCGTCTGAGCTTGACGTACGTGGTTTGCTCCATTTCTTTGGAAGAGAGAATGGTAATTTATGCCTGTATGGGGTGTGTTGCGTTTTCATTCACAATAGGCTATATTATCTACAAACTTTAAGTAGACGACAATTTTTTACATGTTGAGATAACTACCGACATTTTCGCCAAGTCACGCGTGGAACAAATACAGCCTTTCAGAGCTCAAAGCATTATATATTTCCGGGTGCTTAATAGAACTTTGTATTTGCATTGAAAGCCAAGGCATTTCTGCGTTTTTCAAAACGTCACATAGAGCAGTGCTACGCGGTCTTAGGACTGTTTACTGGCACATTTTATTGCAAGTACCTCTCACTGATTTAGGAGGTAAGGGTGGAAGATGAAGATGCGATCACTGGAACAAGAAATTTATTTGCCTGACGTTTCGGATCCTCACTCGAATCCATCATCAGAGACATTCGCAGATAGAGGTGAAGGTGGCACCAGGAGTGCAGTATTTATAGCACGTGGCTTCCGTGGGACCGTATGCGCACTGCAATTAACAGTTCTCGCAATCACCGCTGGGGTCGTAATTGATGCGGTAGTGGCTTGTCAGTCCGAATCCAAATCGTTAATTGCCGTGATTTTGTCATCCGTGCTGGATGCTAGTGTGACGATTGCCCGGCAAAGTGGCTCACTGTCACTGGGATAATTGCTCACCCGCGACCTCCCCACGTGACTCATTCCTTTATCCGGGAAAAATCTCAGTACGGAATATGATACCGGGAGGTCATCGCGCTTGTTGATGGATTGCGGGCCTGAGAACCATGACTCGAGCAGCTCGCGGCTCACGCGGTTGCCATTCCTTGCGAGGATTTCGGCCTCTTGAAATTTGAAAATATGTCCGGGTCCCGTCGAGTGTGCCGCCACCTGAAAGCTAGCGTCTCCCCGCCTCATTGCTGCTGCGTGCTCGGCAATTCGCGTACGGAGTAATCTCCCAGTTTCTCCGACATAATTGCTTTGTCCGCAACTACACCAGATCCGGTAAATGACTCCAGACGTGTCCTGCCGTGGTAGCGGGTCTTTTGGCCTCATGACTTGGCGCCTAATGGTTGCTTCCGGCCTGTGTGCAACCCCAACTCCAAGTGGAGTGAGAAGACGACTGACGGCTTCCGAGACGTTCTTCACGTACGGAAGAGCCCGCAAAAATCTGGGGCCGGTTGGATTTGGTCTCTGGTGGCCTTTTCGTATGCAGTGGTTGACAAAGTTCCGCGGGTAACCATTGGCTCTCATTACCCGTCGAAGATATTGTAATTCAGCAACCTTGTCTTCCATTTCACTGCAGTGCGTCTCAACGCGCCGGTATAGTGCCCTTACGCAATTGCGTTTGTGACTGATCGGGTGGTTGCTATTGAAGTTCAGTATTTGCGTCGTATTTGTCGCTTTCCTGAACACTTTGGTTTTTAGGCCACCACAATCTTTGCGGCAGACGAGGACATCTAGGAAGGCCAGCTGATTGTTTTCCTCCTCCTCCATCGTAAATTGAATGTCCGGAAAGACGGCGTTGAGTTGTTCTTTGAGCGTCAGCACCTGATCCCGTTCGATTGCAGTGCGCATACGGTCCCACGGAAGCCACGTGCTATAAATACTGCACTCCTGGTGCCACCTTCACCTCTATCTGCGAATGTCTCTGATGATGGATTCGAGTGAGGATCCGAAACGTCAGGCAAATAAATTTCTTGTTCCAGTGATCGCATCTTCATCTTCTGAACTGCTACCTGGAACTCGCCTGTTCGCTTCTATCAGGTAAGGGTGGATCAGTTCGGATAAAGGTACCAGTACTCACCATGTCCACTTTTTGCTTCACCGCATGATGACCTGCGAAGCATCTGCCGTACTCTGTTCCTCTCTCGAGTCCACCTGATCTGACTGTCAAGGCGGAGTCAATAAAACCGAAGTGATAGACAAGGTCAGACAGTCCGTCTGCGCGTGCCACACACACCCTGGTCTTCGCAAGACCAGGGACCAGGACCCCATTTACAAACCTCAAGGGGACGCCTAGATCCCGACTACGTGGGAACGCCAAAGGGGCCGCATTAAGAGGAATCCATTGCAACCGGACTCCCCGTTGCGAGAGGAGGACCGGGATATCCCGTCAGCGAGCAACCTTCAAAACCCCGGAGTTGGCACTCCCTTTTAGTACAAAAGCCCGCCAAATTGTTTGTATTGAGGAGTACGCGTCAATTGCTGTGGCGATGGAGTTGTTCAAGGCGACCTCGACCATTCTTCGCTCTCTCTCTCTCTCTCTCTCTCTCTCTCCTAAGCATCTGTTTACTGTCTGAGCCCGTCAATCATCTGAAGCAATGTTTGGGTGCGAGTGGCTGATGGAGTTTAACAGCTCATCTGCGCGTACACCGCATGACACACCAGGTTTCCACACCAATAGGGCGAAATGTTCGAAGCAATGAGGCTGAAATCGCATTCCTCCAGTCCATCTCTCCACAAAAACCCACGCAGAGCCGACTGAGATGTCTGAATTGCACCGTCAGCCGGCGGTCTTCCAACGCGCCACGTTTAGTGCATTGTGATAGAAACGCGTCAGATTAACTGCAATTAGGAATGCACTGAGGTGTGGTGGGGACGAATTCTCGCGAGTCTACCTCGCTCTCTGTTCCCTCTCTCATCAATTCAAGCGAAATTAACAGCAGCAAAGGGTTGCAACACGCGAATCTGGCTGGAGACATTTTCTGTCCCCGAGGCTGCATGGGCAGACTCATAAGAAAGGACGGTCTACAATTAATTGCTGCTGTCTACTTCTACAGCGTCAACAGAATAAAAGCCGAGCCAGATTCGCTAGTGTTATGAGTATACTGCCGCAGCCCAGAAAAATAAAACGCAAAGTACGACTATTGTAATGCTTGAAATGTTCAAAAAGGAATATGCTCACGGTTTTGAAGGACGTAATCCCCGATTCCAGTTTGGTCGAATTCAGCACTACTGTGCTGTTGTTCAGACCATCGTATGCATCGCGAAGTTTCTCAGATTTAGCATTAGTGTCGACCAATTCTGGAATCACGTTCTCTAACTGAGTGGCTTGTGCGCTACAGTTTGGACCTAGGTTGGTTGAAAAAGCTTTGATTTGTTCCGTTTTGAACGCGCTTTCTCGAAGGTGTTCAACGGAATTCTATAGAGCAGGTAAAGAAGTATTGAGATGGCAAAACATTTATCGAACATGTTGCTTCTTGAACTAGTCAGATAAGCATAATTGCGGTAGCATTATTTTACATTTGTCTGGACTCGGGTCGTTGTGCCTCTTACATACAATATGCATTTGGAGATTTATTCCATTTGTTAGAGACGTGCAGTTCAGTAGCCTAACTTAAAATTATCAAAAAAACGTCATGAAGTGAGGAGAACGGTTGCAGACAAAACGATCACAGTTAAGTCCCTTGAAGAGCAATAAAATCATCAAGTGCCTGGAGTTGACATTCAATCAAATAACAGAGCGTACACACGGTTTATTAAAAAAGGGAAATAGCTGCATGTTTCAAGTTGCTCGTAAAACTTCCAGGGATGCTTGAATTTTACTAGGTGCGCATTGCCCTCGACTTAGATGGGGGGGGGGGAAGAATTGATCTCACTCGAACCTTTAATAAAGGGCGTAGTTAGTATAGACTTACAGATATATTAAGTAAGGCAACCACGTTTTGGAAAACATATGTAAGGTTTGTAATTTTGGCCAGAATATCATTCGGAATTGCGTTGCCAAGATTTGCCCCGACGATACCGTCCACCAGACTCCTGCAAGAAAACCAATATTTCCTCAGTGAAACTAACAAAATCACACAAAGTAAAACGCTGGAAGATGCCAAAATAAATGAGCACTGCTTAGGAAAAATATAAAAAAGAAAAATCTCTACGAAATTTACGATTTTTATATTAATTGCCAATCGAAGTCTTAGGTGTCGTAGGCCGTAGGATGAAGCATCCCTCACCCACTCGGCACTAAAAGCCCAAGCCACGTCTAGAAAACTACAGATCTACCAGACCGTGCCGTCATTCCACTGTCGTCTAATATTTTGCGTGTCATAATTGCTCCTACAATTATTCGGGTACGAAAGATCGCTAACTGAAAACGCCAGTATAGGAGCTTACGACGGCTGCGAAACACAGCGACAGCGTCTGCAACTCTGACTAACCCTGATTTCCTCAGCACAGAAGGTAACTGCCGTAGTTGAGAGACCACAGTGAAGTGCACCAGTCCTGGTCTCAAAGTGTAAAGTATATGAGTCATCCAGGAAGCCGTACATTCTCATTGTCGTCACGGCCATCCACCCACAACAAAGGCTGACCTCAGATTAATCCGACGAACTTATTCATTTTGCATACTTCAGAGGTGGACTTGGGCAGATGGAGGCACTAACGGCGACAAAAAAGACTCGATTGCATCGACCAAATGCCTACTGAGAGAGCCTCTAAAATGGACACTGAAAATGCAGCGTGGATGAACGACAAACTTACTTCTGGGCACTTTCAATGCCTTGAGTGAGAAGGGGACTCTCGAGCAGGGCAGTGACGTTGACCAAATTGTCGATTCCCATCTGCACCAGCAAACCTGACTTCGAGGTCGGCCCGGCGGTTTGAGGATCACAACCGATCTCGACGGCATGCAGCAGGTTTTGGGGTGTCTTCAGATTGAGAATGCCAGCCAGGTCACCTCCAGTGCTCCCACTGCCCCCACCTACCCGCGATAGAACATGATCGTCCCACAGGACTTGCACTTGAGAATTTATCACATAATCGGTCTTTCTGATTCCACTGTTATTAGCTATGTACGGGCAGAGTTCGGCATCCAGGAAACCACCCATGGTCACCATCAGCACGGCGACAAGGCCGAAGAGAATGACGGGCACGAGAAGCAAGCCAGAACAAATGCAGAACATTCCTCCTCCTCCACAAACACGTGATCTTGAAATCCAGGTTCCACTCGCTTCAAATAGAAAATTGGGGTATTATGTTAGGTTGGGTACTTCGAACAAACAGGGATCGATTTTTGTTACTTTTCCTGCCTTAAGCACAGAGCTATCGGCATAAAGAGACGGACGTTTGCTTCCCCTAGGCAGTCAAAATTATTTCCCGACTATTCCATCTTGGGTATTTTAAAAATACCAGCAAGTATCAGTGTTAAGTAGCAGCTTGTGATCCTGTTGTTATCTCGAAGGATTGAGATAATAGAATAAATGGAGAACGAAAGACCAGAAAATAAGCTGCAAAAATAATTGGCATATGTTGTATACGCATAATATTTTAAGTGGCCAGTTACCAGCTCTTACATTATTGGTAGAATAGTAATCATATACCTTTCAAGACGAGACCCACTTGATGGTTGGATAGAATGTTTCCTGTTGTTGGTTTGCACTGGAGTTATACAAGAGGAAATCCGTCTCCGTCAAACCACTATTTTATTCTTTTATAAGCCCACCAAGAAACCACACACTACAATGATTTGCACGTCATTACTTTCAAGACGGTGGCTTGAAGCATTGACTAAAATAGCTCGCGACCCCTTAGGTTGTCACCCCTTGGGAGGATTTCGGCCTTGCCAGACTACACAGTGTGTCCGTCAAATGACTTGCGACTAGAGAGTTATCGTCATTTTCTCTCACTGTGGCCATTCATATCGAGACATGGTCACACCTTCAAATTAGACGAGGCTGAAGTTCTCGCAAGCGGTGTCGGCCGCGTAAGCCGCCAGCTACTTGAGAGCCCTGCTTCTGCAGCCCAAAGTCGACCAGCAAGTGCAATGAACTCTGGCCCCATACTTTGCGCTGCGACTTTGCCTGGTCAGAGCAATTATCCATGCGGGGAGGGTGCATGCGACTGCACAGTGAGCTACAGTGAGCCAAATGGCCGAGTCATTATCACGTCAAGAATCCACAACGGTGACTACATTTCGGCAAGTACCGAATAGGGTGCAGCCATCATTGAATTAATTACGTGCCCCTCCCATAATTTCGATGACTGCCAATGACACTAGGCAAATAATGGCATGGCAACTGCTCAAACCCACAATCAGAGACAGTACCACATACGGATGGTTCGTGCACAGGACGTTGCGGTCGCCGTGCTACTGCATGCCTGTGATAATTAACCGCTCTCCTCCCCCCATCGAGAATGGTCGCTGGCTGGTGCATTAACGGCTTGATGGCCACAATGAAAGTTGTTAATTGCCGAAGTTGCATCAACCCTGTTAGCGCGATGATGGCTCGGCCACCTGACTTACCGGCCTGCACGTCCCTCGAGTGGCTAATTACTTTGGGCAGACTAAGTCTCAACACCGAATATGGAGTGACGATAGCATCGCACTTTTTGATAGAATGGGGTCTCATGGACCATCATTATGGCAACTCGTTGATATCTCTCGCGGGAATCCTAGCCCCGCCGAACTTGAATGTGTGGTAGGTCTCATCGAATGAGCGGTGACTTGAGAGTTGACGGCATTTCGCCCCACTGCTACCGCGTTTTCGGCGATTCGCATCCAGAGCAGTCCTTCGGTTTCTCCGACACGTTTGTTTTCTCAGCAGGTACTCCAATTCGATAAACAGCTCCGGATGTCTCTTGCCGTGGCAATGGGTCTTTTGATCATATTACCTGAGATCTAGTGACTGCCTTCGGTCAGTGAACAACTCTAACTGCTAGTGGTGCGAGAAGGCGGCTGACGGCCTCCGAGACGTTTTTGAAGTACCAATTTGCAAGCCAAAATATGGGATTCGATGCGATTTCGTCTCCCACCTCATGCATACACCGGTCGATGAGGCTGCTCAGATGACCACATTCTATAAACACCCATCGAAGACATTGACATTAGTCGACCCTGTCTTCCGGTTCACTGCTGCGTGTCTCAATACGCCGATATAGCGCCCGTACACAGCTACATCTGTGACTGATACATTTCGTGTGGACCGGATTGTGCGTAGCCCGCGTAGATGGGCTGTTTGACTAATCACGGCGTCCGATTCCGCCTTCAGTTGTATTGGCACTTACATGCAACTGGAACAGGGCGGATTTGCGAAGACAGAGATAGTGCGAGGGATTCTCCATAAGTCTGCCTCATTGCAAACTAACTCAGTCCTGCCACTGCTCTGAGCTTACCACTTCGTGGAATATAGCGTGAGACGTCTTCCTGATTCCATTGCTGCCGACTGCATAAAGTAAGTTTTGTAAATAACAGCACATCATATGTTTCAGGAAAATGACTTAAACAATACCCTCTGAGGCTGACTCCCCTGTAAAGGAGAACAGATGACGTTGAAGCGCCTCAAACAAAAACAGGGTGAGGAAGATGAGGAAGAGGATGCCGGCTAGAAGACAAGGCAGACATAGGACGTAGAGAACAGCTTTAGCGGGACGCGAGTACTGTTCAAGAAAACCAGACACCTTGGTGGTGACTCCATCTAACTGTCTATTCACTTCTGCAAACTCATCTTCTAGATTTCCCATGAGCTTGTCCATGCCCTCGAGAATTTTATCCAAGTCCAGCTTATCCTGCAATTCCCCCATCACGTCGTCCTTCATAGCCTGCAGCTGTTTCGTAACGTTCACCAACTTCGATTGAAGGTCTTGTAATTGGCTGTTCGTTTCGTTAAGCATGGCTGTCACATTGGATGGCATTGGCCGTACGTTCTTCGGATCAAAGCTGATTTTAAGTGCATTAGCCTAGGAGATGACACAATAGTAGCTGGTAAAGACGTAATGCAAGAAGCCAATGTTTGTAAAAGTAGTATATCGAAAGAACATCAAATTATTTCTCGCCAGTAGAACGTTTGATTTATCTCAGAGATGAGGAAACCTCGAACGATTTTATGTCAGATGGTCGAAAATATGAATCAGGATATGCAATTCACTTTAGTGAAGTCTAAGAAATTTAAAAAAATATGTGTAACAAAGATTTCCTCCGTATACAGGGTTTTACTTATTTAGACAAAAGTAAATGCCTACCAAAAGTTATTTCGTCAGTTGTCTACTATATATCCGACAGGTTAAAATCCAAACGAGCCTCTTAGGAGAAGACACGGTCGGGCAAAATTTTTGCTAACTGGTGTATTTAATCCCAAATAACGCAACGATAGAAATCTGTTGCAGCCTGTTCGCCTTAATATTATTGTTATGCTAAGTGAGTAACATGTGTCATTGCTACTTATCTGTAAGTGCGAATGTCAACAGATAACTGACAAACTGAAAAAAATTTGAAAGTTCATTACACGGTTTTTAATATAAACTCCAAAAAGAGTCGACATAACCACTGAACTACCCCTTATCTAGTTCGTAAACACAGCTAAATTTACAATGATCCCGAATCACTATAGTGGAGTCTCAGGCATTTTTTATTGTGAAAAGGTTACCCATATAAAAAAATGAAGTTCATATTTACAGAAGGCGTCTAATACATCGTTTTATACACTAGACTGGTTTATACAACTATCCAGGTCGTCAAAACTGGAGCATGCATAAACTGGTACTACTCCTTAGTTTAGCAGTTAAAGAGCATTTACAGACAGAAGTCGAACTTCCCGGAAAAACCAACGTTACCTTTGAGCCGGTCACGGAACAATTTTGCACGGTCGCATTAAGGATAAGGTCCAATTCCAAGGAATTATTAACAATCTTGGTTATGGTCGGCAAATAATTTGTCGTTATATAATTTGCGTCTTCAGTCGCGTTGCCGATCGCATACACCATCTCATTCAGTGCCTCCCAAATTTCCATCATTTTGAATTCTGTCATGAGTGCCGTCACTAGAGTGGAAATCTCATTCGGCAAAGTGATCTACAACATAAGCGTCCATATGACAAAAAATTGTGCAAAATCAATGCCTAGATTCTGAAAACACCGTATTTGGGCACGTTTGTATGCCGTTGAGGCAGCGGGGAAGCTTCTTAATGCTTCAAAGGATTCAAGCATCGCCCGACTTTAAACCTCGGATGTCATCATAGGATGTATATTCGATTTGCCTCAATTATATAACTGGCATTTCATTTTATAAATATGACGGAAAGTAATGCGTGGTATTCGGAGGCATTTAAACGTTAAATGAACAGATAAAGTGCCAAAATGAGGCGCAGGTTTAAAATGCCATTCAGTAGGCGGCTGAAGGGTTTGCAAAGCCCATATTTGAATTGGTCAAAATCGTAGCAAATTATTTTATGGAAGACACCAAAATTGCAAGTACCCATGAAACAGAAATTAATTCATAACTGAGTAAAATATGAATTGAAATGTTCTGAGCAAGAGAAGAAGGAGCGAACTTCTGATGTTCGAACAGTCTAGTGCTAAGAACATTAGTTTCGCTGCGTGACGTGATGCTACCTAGTAATAATGATGGGAAATATCACAAATATGATCAAAAGCCAGACAAGAACACATAGATGATTTCTATCAAAATGTCAAATTTTGACTTCACTTAAAAGTGGCCTAGATAAAAAAATAAAAAATGCCCGTCTTAAACAAAAGAATATATTCCACTTTTAATGCAAACGAAGCTAAAAATAGTAACGTGGTTTGTTTAGAAAGGGGAACGTCGTTCGGCACTTTGGGGGCAGGGTTTAAGAACTGTTTGTTGGCTCAAAACGCATTCCTGCCTGAGCAGAACAGATATATCCAAATTCCCCTCAGGATAACATTAAAATAAATACATAACTAGCGACGAGATTAAAGGTTATGTATTTAAAACATTCTATTAGCAGAATATAGATAGATAAGTTGCTGAAAGTCTTAGGTCAGCATAGGCCACTTGGTGCAATGATTTCATGCATTAGTCGTTAATATCCAATTATATAAAAACTTATGTAATCCCTGATATTGGATACCAAATCAACCTGGTATAGAGTAAGAGTGCCTATTAAATTTGTTTTCAATAAAATATATCTTAAGCGAATGAAAAAACAGAGTGATTATTTTGTGAACATACCTCCAAAATATTTTTCTTGACGATGATAATTGTCACATTTGCACTTATTTTCGCCGACTCGATTGACGATTTTCCGAATTTCGCAACATTTGAAACCAAAAATTGCAGAATGCGACCGATGGAAAAGCTGGAAGAGTTGCCTTCCAGCCACACGATCACATCCTTGTCATCTACCTGTGAATTAGCCAAAGTTTCACTGAGTACATTGGCCGCTCCAAAGTAATAGCCGAGTGACACAACCAGACCAACCAGCAGGAGAGCGGATATAACGAATATGAGAAGATGCAGAGAGCAGCAGATAATATTTTGGTCCTTCGTTGTTGACACGGAGTTTCCCATTTCCTTGATTTAGAAAAGGATCGGAGAGGTTTTTGTTAGCAACAGAAGCTCTCATTTTTGAAATTACTTGTCTTATGATGATGTTGAACAGAGACTTTATGTCTTCCATTTGCCGTTTGCCTCATATACACTCGGTATGTGAGGCCATATTGCATTACTTCTGGAATTATACCTATAAATTATGACAGATGGGCGCTCACCGACCAGGTTACGAACATGCTTGTTCAGTTGTGCCGTGCGGCTCATACTAGAACCCTTGCAGGCAGTCTCACAGCGACTAATAGTAGACATAGGTGAGATGGTGCCAACAAAGACAAGGGAGGCCGGAATGGCCATTTCTGGCTTATTAGCCATCATCAGTCAGGCATATCCAACTCTAAGTGTGGACCGACTGAGATTTGAACCGGGGGTCTTTTGTCATGGAGTTTGACACTTTACCATTGAGCTACGGGTCCGTTGTTCTATCGGTTGTGATCAGGAATATCAATTATGACAGTGGGCGCTCACCGATACTTTTCTAAAGATTGTGCTGATTCGTAGCATTATGATGTGCATTTTTCAGGGAGGTGAAGTGAGCAAAATATCTGTAAATCACACATCCCGAAATCAAAGGTGCATTGGGAGTCCGTTGTAATGTTTTAAAGTATGATGCATCTTTTTGGATCCTTCGGCTGTCGAAATCAGAAAAGCTCATTAAACATGAACCAGAAAGTTAGTGCATGCTTTTAGACGGAAGACGCAGCCAACTGTTGTTTTTATTGACTAACCCAGGGGCTGACGATTTAATCTGCACGTTTAATTAATTTTAGTTACCTCACCAACGTGGGCAATAATGTTGCAAAATTCGCGGCCTGGATAAGTTGTGCCATCAGACTCTCTACAGGGAACCGAGTGCCCTCGATTTATTATACGGTCGACGCAATCCAAACCGCAAGAACTACCAGCATTTGTGTGGAGTAGATTTTCCTATTTCACAAATCTGCATTTGCAGACCGGTTGCTGCCTATGAGAACTATGAGCATACTTGAATAAGCCTGCAAGCCTCTCAAACGTTTTCTCATTTGTGAGCCCTTCTAGATCAACAGCGCAAAGCCCTGCTACAAATACTAAATTTCAAGAGGACGAAATTGACATTAAAACGGGTATACTAAATAAAATATCTCAAAATTTGTTTTGAAACATAAGATTGCAAACTAGTCGAAGCATTTACAAAAGCGGAAAGCATAAGAAAATGCACCTGACTGGAAAGGTGTCTGATTTAAAACCAGATTGTTGCCGTTTTGGCAATAATCTCTGACTACGCTTCACGCTAATCAGCATGCTATCGTGCTCCAATGAACTTCCGTGTTCAATTGTCTGCTTAGACTATTTAGGTCGTTGTTTTCTGAGTAAATGGCTTTGCAGGTGCTGCAGTAATCGAAAGATAATTACGTGCAGTAAAAAAAAAACAGAGGACTTCCCTTGACCTTCTTCTTGCATTTGTTTCTAGCGGGTATGATTATTCACCAGTCCTAGCCCACGAGAACCTCCCAATGAGTCTGGCGCGAAACGCTGTTCGCGCATGAGTTTTCGAAAGCACCCCTGCTGCTAAAATAACACGGTAAGGCCATCGTGACTCGTCTCCACGCACGAGCAGGACTCTCAGCGCAGGCGGTCGTTCTGCTCCCATGCTAGTTCCCACTGGCAAGAAGGCCTCAGTCACTGCAAACGGGGCCTCAAAGCGCCATTTGGAATTTAGGAAGTTGCAGGGCGTGCGGTTATAATCAACCACTCACAGTCTTCTCTCTCCACCCCTTCGGGCACCAGTGCGCAGTCCAGGTCAGACAATTTGGAGATGACAGTGAATTACGGCTAATGCAGTTAATGCTCACACATTTGATCCCCATTAAGCTTGGCGCAATCATCCACATGTCTCCAGTACTTTATACACTAAATTTCAGTCAAGCTCTTGATCAATACTTGACTTTGTTCGATCACCTCACCACCCAGGTCCTTTTCTGTAACAACAACTGACCTACTGACAGTTCGGTCTGACAATCAAAATGTATTCCTTCCTCTAAATATGTCGGTCACACGATTTGTCGGGGGAGGGAAAGGAGAGCGGATCAGACGGTGTAGATTCTGAATTAGGATTCCACCTATCGCCTTTTTGTGCAGGCGATATAATTCTTGTAGTCTTGAGCTCTGCTATACTTTATATCGTTTCTTATACCTAAATTGTAGTGGACCGAAACCGTTCCACATTTCATGCCCGAAAAGTATAATTTACGTTCAACAATGTATATTTAAGGCATTACAAGACGAAAAACGTCTATTCAAATAGCGTCGTATCTGTAGTTTTTTTTTCAAGCTCATTATGAGGGCTTACGTAATTTGTATCCAATGCTAATTTTTATCAGTTCTTTAAAGCTGGAAAATGGAGTTTTTTGGGAATTTCATGCTGACTGGGTTTGTCGTAAGTATGGCGCCTATTAGTTGGTAAATGTTGTTTTGCAGGGGATGATAAGATGCGCAGTATAAAGGCAAAATTTTGACATAAATTTTGTTTCTAAACTGTGATGCTTACTGAGAGGTATTGCAGTTCCGCCTCAATAATAATTCCGTTGCGGCACACTATTTTGAAAGTTTAGATTAGACCTCATAAGGTGCCTTAGATGGTGTGTCTTCCCGAGGATTTATTATTTAAACTAGCCAACATAAATCTAAATCACAAATACACAGGAAAAATTCGAAAAACAGAGCTCGAACTCATCCATTTCCTTTTTGCGACAACAAAAAGTTGATGAGACAAGTAAGCTGATGTGCACTTTGCACAGTTATTCTGCAGTCTATTGTATTTAAATCAAACTATGCGACAATGAGCAAGACGCCGTATCTTAAAGCATTCCCTAGATTCTGCAGCTTCAGATTGTCTACCATTTAATGGATTTAAAGTCACCGACTATCCACTTACACCTTAATACCATGGATAACCTAGCAGCTTCTCAGCTGATATTTTCGTTAAGAAAGTTCTTTAAATTCCACGCTTTTAAGTGAATAATAAGCAAATATTCCTAGCGCTGGAGAATAAAAGAATAGTTTGGCATTTTTGGGGTCGCGGGCAAGATATTATTTGTGGCGACAGACAGTTATGGCTAGCATGCCATTAAACCATTATTGTTACTTTGTAATTATATAGCTAAAAATTAAAAAAACTAACCCTTCCTCTTCCATAATTGGTAGGCAGATCCTAAATTTTTTATGAAAGGTGTTATCATAAAAGAAATGGTTATTTAACTTACAGCCTGACCGAATTTTAATAATAGGATTTGGCGAATTCGGCCGGAGGTTGTATATTTTACTCATTCCGGCAATTTACTTTTTAGTGTTTGACATCTTTAGGATTCAAAATTCGTTTCTGTAATACTGAGGAATGGTCAGAACAAAAAAAGCTCCAGTCCCTATTCCGACAACAACACTCTCCAATTGCTAAGAGTCAATTATCACGAATTTGCATGTTGAGACAAAGTGCAGGGAACCCTAGAACATGGCTGTCCAATTACATTACGTCCGATTTCTGCTTAGAGCAAATAGTAACCCGGACAAATTCGCTGACCGGAAACCAAACCGAGCTGATCCAAAATTTGGAAAGAGCTCCTGTTCATCAAACAAGCTCAAAATGCATTAGACGCCAATCACAAATCAACTACCCCATCTCTAGCAGGCATAGAAATTGGTCTATTTAACCGCTACTTCAGCGCATCTTCCAACACTTGCAGTAAGCAAATTCTCAAACAGCAGAGTTTTGCCATTTTCGGCATAGTTGGCTTAGCTGCTATCTCCTCTGATGTTAATACTGAGTGCATGACCGTCAAAGCATCACCCAGAACGTTGTTCGGATTGTGTACTCATGCAACAAGCCTAAATAGAAATCATCGACTTTACAAACAAAATGGTATCCCCAACGAATACTCACAAATGACTGAAGGAAAATAGGGATCAGTCAGTAGGCAGGGTCATGTTAACCATCTGTGTGCTTTTGGAACAGTTTGGTGTGCCAAATTAAATTAAATATCTTTGATAGGTGACCAAGGTTTGCATCTTTTTAAAGAAAAGAAGGCTTTATTACGAGAACGGGGTGTTTTCTTTGAGCTGCCATCTGCCTGGTATCACAAAACACAAGCCAAGTATCCTAGCTAGCAAAACAAGGAGAATCTGATCATTTGTAAGTATTGCCGATGCAGGTGCATAGATTTTAAGGTATTATTGCGCAACTAGAAAATCGATGGCTAGAAATGCGTAAAATGGTAATCAAAGCGTCACTGTTAAACTAATACTTTTTTCGGAAAGTCAATGGAATGCTTTGCAAAATGACGTTTTCGTCAAGAGCCCGAATACAGCCAACTGCAGAAGACGGTTCTATTGTAGGTGGGCTAACTCATGAAATATTAACCGAAGTTCTGAAATGCACTTTCGTTTCGAAAGGATTAATTAAGTAGCGTTGTAAAACTAGTCAGCCTGAAACATAATCCTATAATATTTCAGTTACCTCAGGATGTAGGCTTCCGAACGAACATCTTTTCGGCTGCATGCAAAAACTACACTGTAAAAATGACTACTTAAGTAGCATGAATTTTTTCCACTGATTTTCGATGTCCCTAAATGCTCAATTATATTTCTTGGAAAACATGCATACAAATACTCATTATTTTGCCCATTCGGTAAAAAATTACGTCTTCTTCCAAATTGGCACTCAAAGGAGGAGTATAATTTTGTTGTCGAAAACCTTTCCAAATCCCGAACAATTTTAAACCCGCTCTGCCATCACACTTGCATTCAGGGTTTAAAAACTACAATCCGTATATTTTCCGCGTTCAAAACCACACATTTACCTACGGTATTAAGTGGAGACTAAATGGGTATTCATAAAATTTAGCAGTGGATTTGATCCAGACTGTCAACTTACAAGCCAAATTAGTTAATGTAAAACATGACGATTTATGGACGGTCATTTCAAGGTATTTAAAAGTCCCACAATTGTAAACATTTTTAAAACCAAATTATGCCCCTCCTTGGAATATAAACTTAAAAGAAGACGTTATTTTCTACCAAATGAGCAAGGAATGATTATTTTTCTGCATGTTTTTCATGAACTATAATTGAATTTTTAAGGGCACCGAAAATCGATGAAAATAATTCATGCTATTTATGTTGTCATTTTTACAATGTATTTTTTGCATACATCCGGAAGAAAGTTCATTCGAAAGCCAGCATCCTGAGGCAACTGAATAATTTTAGAATTATGCCACACAATATTCAGTTTTATACTTCATTTGTCTTTTGGAAACGAAAGAGCGCGCTTATAATGGATATAAAATTTAAAGCTAAACAGTATCTTTATCGGTTTTTTGAGACTGTGTGGCGTTAATGCATCCACACAATTAATCAGAAGGTCCCGAAAATTGCAATGCTATTTCCTTACAGTTTACACGAATTAGTTTTTCGTTTTTTAGATAGTAACGGACAGACTAACAGTATGGTCTCTCAGACACTCATTCTAAGGTTCGAATCGCAGCTCCGGGCGTTAAAATGTCGGTAGGACTAACCCATACAGCCCACAAACAGGCTGCTGAAACAGGAAGCGTCCGCAGTGCGGAGGGCTTTGGGCCAACTTCCAGTGAATAAAGGACTAGGTGTAATTGTAGGGTTAGATTTAGGTTAGGGCTGGATTTAGAGTTAACGTAAAGTAAGCCAGGCCCAAGTTTACAGTTAAATTAGGGGTAAGGGTCAAGATTACGGCGAAGGTTTAGTTTGATATTAAGACAATTGTTGGGGTTAGGATACGGGAAGATATTGCCATTCCTAGAATTATGCGCAGGTAAACCCTTACGACGTGGACGAGACGTTCCTATTCCTATGTTCTGTCTAGGTGTTTACGCAAGTTACTCCCATCAAAATTTCATACTATTACTAATAAATGAAGAATTCATATGGACCGGTAAAGCATACATTTACAGTGACGCCACGTGCATTTTATATGCCCGCCTGTCTGCTGGTCACAGGCGTTAATTATGGAACATAACTGGTGGTGCACTGAACAGTTTGCACCTTCCATAATCATAATCATCATCATCATCATCATCATCATCATCATCATCATCATCATCATCATCATCATCATCATCATCATCTCTGGAAAATTTTTCAAAGAAGAACGCGGACAACTATAGGAGAAATAGGCAAAAGCGGAACTGGGGAAGGTAAGAGCGTTTGCCACACAGAAATCCCTTCATAAAGCAAAGTATGTTAGAAAAACCTTGCCAGGAGATCAGAGCTGTTTCTAAGTTGTTTTTCTATTTCCAGTGGAGATGGACACATGCTTTATGTATTTCCCATCAGAACAAAAGACACTTGGGTTTCTTCTGCTCTGAAACTCTTACAAAAATCTCAAGTACATATTTTATTCATGGTGTTTTAAGTCGGAGACATTACAAACCGATAGCTTGATAGTTACTTATAAATTTTTTTATCATACCAGGAAGACAAAAAAGAGAAGCTGATGACGCTAGACAGAAAAGGCTATTCTGCTGTCTGTCCGTACGCCGGTTACTTATAGGCTGTTTAAAGCTGGAGTGGAGTTGGTAGGCGTCACCAGCAGTGTGACCAACAGACATTTGATTGGCTCAAAAAATTGAACAGAAATGCCTACCGAAGCAGTGCTATCAGTTAACGTACCTCGTCTTCTTCATCGCTGTCATAATGCCCACCGGACGGACAGCAACAACAGCAGACCAGGGAGCACACAAAGATGGCCAGAAGACCCAGAATAGCGAGAACCAGGCAGACTATAAAAGCGACAATGACCTGGCCTTCATGATTCGGATTTGCAATGGCCTCTTTCACTGCTGCCTCGCCGCCTCCCAGATCCTCCGGTATGGCCGCCAACACGGCCAGGTCTGCCTTCTCTAGTTTTCCCATGACCATGTGCATTAGACTTGTAGTCATCACGGAGGCATCATTCTGGATGTCGAAGGCGGTGCCATTTTGGCTACCACTGGATGGTACGGGCTTCAGAAAGACATTGAGCAGGCCACCATTCTGATATTGCAGCATCCAGGCAAAAATTGTGGCCACACAGCCGAGGACAGTCGGTATAATCATTGTGCTTATTTATGGGAAGTAGGAATTGCGATCTGATGCGTTGGAGTTGTGAGCTCTGGAGGGAGGAACGGCAGATGCAAGTCGTTAAATCAAACCCTGACGTGATAGGTTCGGAGGCGAACTTAAACTGTAGGGGTTGTCGTTATGCGAATACAATAGTTCACATAATTGGTTAAACGACAACATTTTTTTAGAGCGGGCCTTGGTTCTGTTTGTAGCAAACTTTTAAATATCACAAAAATTACAATCTGCTAGTGGCGTAACTGACGTCACTCAGCAGGAGTGAACGGCTACCCAGAGAGCATATGGGGCCGAATATGCAGTCCAGCTAAGTTTGCGCGAGGTTGATAATGCATTGCGAAACTAGTTGTCGTAACAACAAATTGCTGAAATGTGATTTTGAAACAAAATTTCACGCAAATACAACGCATAAGTATGCAGATTGTCAAAGAGTAAACAGACAAGGCGAGTACCGTTCCCACTTTAGTACAAACCAGTTAATAATAACCCCGAATTCTGCAGACCTTTCCTTGAATATGAACACTACAGGTACAGTAAGAGTAAAAGCAATTGGTTAATCTCGTTCAGGTAGTATCCAGACCTACTTTATATGCTTGGTTGGATCTGCATAGCTCATTCGTAAATAGTATAATTTCTTTGAAAATTTTAGTACCAATCAAAGACCCCGACACATGCACTTCAATATTTGTATGGTCGATATGGAGAAATACTTTCGCATATGAGACTCCGCATGATTTCAATGTTCATTTGCAAAAAATTATTTTACACCCGCTACTATGGCAGTACTTAACCAAATTGAGAAACGAAGGCATCTTCCGTAGTCAGAATTATCAGTTATATTTACATTAATTTATCAGCATTTTCGTTATATTTTGCATGACACTTGACACAAGTGATGTGAACAACAACAACAACAACAGTACAACTCAACGTGATGGGATAAGGGGTTGACTTAAATAGCTAAAATAATCGTCATGTAAGCGCAGCCGTTCGCCAAATTTCAGTGTTCTTGTTTACGCCTGTCTTTCTATCAAACTGCCTCAACTTTCCATACAAGCACATCGAAAAGGCTGACATTAGAAAATTGCAACATGAAATTCATGGGTGCAAGTGAGCAAAGATATTGTTAACGTAAACTAAAATTGAAACCTTACCTGCTGACGGCTGGGCAGCTCAGCGTACACACCACGCGCCTCCTTAGACATGAGTGCTTCACGGTAGTCCTTGTCTTATAAATGCACAGGTACACGGTTGTGTTGCCCTCCAGGCAGGTGCGCACGGGGTGTTTGTTAGGAAAATGACGCCTCGCTGTGCCTAGACTCCTTCCTCACTGCTATTTGAGGCGAAACGGGTGCGTATGTGAACAAGGAAGAAACAAATGGCCCAAGTGGTGAGACGCCATGACGCAGAGGCTAATTGATCGGACTGCATGGGGCGGCGCGACAGAAGTCCTCCATTTTGTAGGATTTCATGCAAAAGTGTGTGCGTGTGCTTGGAGAGCCTTGGTCATTGTGATCTGATGTTTGCCGATTCCGACAAATGAGTCAGGGTAGTGCTTGCACAACGTTTGGGTTGCAAATGCTGTAGAATTTAGTGACAAGTGTTCAGAAATCAAGCAGTTAACTCTGATGTTGGAAATGGTTGCTTATCTCTGCGATTTCACCTGGAGCAACCATCAAGCACTAAGGATGCCGATTAAAGCATTCAAGGAACTTCTTCCACGATGCGCATCAATGGCAGAGTTCCTTTTTGACACTGACTAGTGTAGACAATTTTAATTGAATTACTATGAGTTCGTCTCAGGGTCCTCTGTTAGCCAGTACGTTCATCTGCAAACGGGAGGATCTTCATTCGAACTGCCAAATCGATGGCACGCCGAGTCGAATCCTGCCAACTGGAGTTGCAAAAAGCAACTTACTTGATTTCCTGGATAATGCAACTCAGATGCGCACGTTTTGGAATTTTTCTGGCTCGCTTTCGTCCTGGAACTTCCTCCTAAACAAGAGATATGGTGGTACCCCCGAAGAGGCGTCGGTCGGTCGAAAATCTGGTCTGGACAGCATGCGAATTTGAGCTGTTTTATACTCCTTAGGCAGAGGTGCGATCCAGTTTGCCGTTGCATACAAAGAACTAGAAAAATATGTTTAGAGGGTACTGTCGTGAAGGCGTCTGGGAATGTATAGAACTGCTTTACATGAACAAGCGGCCTGGCCAATTGGTTTGAAACGCATCTAACGTAAAACATGCTGACAAAGGGAAAAGAAGCGTTAACTTATCGAAACTACCATAAAGACGCATAGGTCTGATAAGATTTTACCGGAAGCGTACTTAGTCTCGTTAAAGCGAGTTGGTTCATTCTGTAACGCTAGATATTGGGGGAATTCATGATGCGTTCTGAGATAGTGTGTCTATACGTTGAGCAGCCAAGCGTATATGCAAGGGTGTGCCAGCAAGTAAAGGAGCTTTTGGAGTCTTATGGGAAGTGTCTTTTTATGCGATATCGATGTTAGCTCAATTTACAATGTTTGCCTTTATAAATCGGATACATCTTCTCTCTTTGGATATGGCTATGCATTTTACTTTTTATACAGAGTTCAAAAAAGGGAGACATAAAAGCTGAAGGTATTCAAGTTGTTCGTTGCATGCTATATGGGTGTCGGGAGGGAAGAATGCAATAACGACCACCAAGATAATTTGTAGTGTCTTTCCTACTGCCTTAGATGTCCGAAAGTGCCGATGTCAGTTCGCGAAATTCCAATCAAACGCTTTCGATGCCACTGATGTCCACCATCCGGAAAAACCAGTGGGGTTGGATAATAACCTATACGAGCATATTCTGAGGCAAATCCTCGTCAAACCATTAAGAAATTGTGAAGAAAACTAATATCAACATGGTTGACTATTCAGCAGGGGCTTCAGCAGATAGAAAAGTCAGCAGACAAAGAGCCTAGGTCCCTTGCAAACTTTCGATAAAAAACTAAGGTCACCGTTTCACAACCTATAACGGCTTTCTAAGCAAACGGGAGGGAAGCATTACTTCTTCTAATTCTCGCTCGAAATGCAGAATGAATTCTCTGCGTCAACAAATCTCACAAGCGCCAATGATTTTCCACGGGCCAAACACCAGTGCCTGCACTAAAATCAGACGCGTGCCCCCAGAAGTTCTTGCTATGTGCTTGGTAGTGGTGGGCGTTCATCACTTTCGGCTGCCATAACAAGGTCAGGCCGTAACGGCAGACCTTTGTTGTCGACAATCAGAAGGTTTGGACTAAGCTCCTGGCGTTAGACATCTAGCGCTAATAAACAAAAATGTGTCATTCCGTTGCACGAGAACGTGGAACTGTGTTTGGTCCGACAAACCCAGGACAAGATCCGAAATTTAGGGTGAGAACTTTTGGCCTAATCATATTTTGTATTCGATTGTGCGCCAACTGATTAGTACTTGTTTTGGGAAAATGAAGTGCTCACCAGCTCAAGGCAATTGGATTACTCCAGTATCATAGCGTTTAGTGCAAAAAGTCGTCTAGAATCTTAAATAGAGAGCTGAATTAGTTGGCTGCATTGCTGGGGGGGGGGAACTGTTTAAAATATCGATTACCTTAAAGCTGGGCCCTCAGACTTCTTTACGCTGAAAACATTTATTATTATAAAGAGGATAATAAAATTTAATTTTTGAGATGGGCAATTGTGACTGGTAATGATGGCGGCTATGTAACTGGTCAAAAATAGAACGCCTTCCGATAAATACTCTTCTTGTTATTTAATAAAAAACGACATTGCCTCCCGGTACCTTTAGTGGTAAGAAAGTCAAATCACGCCCCGAAGTCGACTCAGTGCTCAACCACATTAGGTGTTTCTTGTTGCTTAAGTTACTTTACCGGATCGGATGAGCGTTTAAACTGACTGCTTGCACATAAATGTACGCCGGTTTCACATATAGGTAATAAGAAACTGAAATAATATTTGTCAGTTGGTTATCATTGCTGGTTAGCAAGCAACGAAATCGTGTTGCCGCGCTCGCGTGAGATCAGGAGAGACAGATAAGATAGCAGAGTCCCATTCCGGCGGTACGTCCATGTGGTTTTTATTAGTGAAATCGGAATTGATGAGTTAGGGCACATTTTTCTTTTACTGACCTAGATTACCTGATTCCATAGGGGGTGATATGAAATAGCAAAGGAAGAACCATAAAATTCACGGTTGGGTCAATAGAAATTACTCAAAAGCTGCCAAAACATCTATGAATTACGTGAGCCTGGTAGTCATCTGGTGGATTCTAGGTGAATTACTTATGAAATCCTGCTTGGGCAGTCAACTAACTGTATCAGATTAGGTGGATTTAAGAAGTTGCATTAGGTTGGGCGGGTGACTTGACCCAAATGTGATTAACATCGCCTCGTCCGGCGGTGCCTCGTAGCCCAAGTGGTCATAGCGTTGGCTGTACTAAAGCCTTCCCGTTACTGTCGTGGGCTCGAATCCCACCTAGGTGCCGAGCTTTTTTCACAGTTGGGCAAATATGAATTATTCAAAATCTGCCAAAACATCCAAGAATCCATTTTGTTTAACGGTGACTTATGGTCTAAGCATTGAAGCCTGCTCAGAGAATATCGATCAGAAATCGTATTGAGAACAAAAGCGGTATGCGTACAATCGGCCAATCTTGTAGGTTTTTAGGAATTGTCAGAAAGGACACGGGGCCCGAGTCAGTTTTTGGACTTGAAATGTATAGCTTAGGACTGCCATTTGCGAAGCGATTTTGAAGGGCGCAAAATCACTCGTCATGTTCAAGCATTCGCAGCGCTTTCTGTATGAAGAATATGCCGCGCTGGATGGCAGATTATCGCGGATACATAAGCTGCCTCTTGCTTTTGTTTGTGGAATTCTCAACAAAAAATATCAGTGCGTTGCCTGTGAGAAATGAATGACAGAAGTCACCAGAAGGTAAAATTGCGGCATGGGGAAAGATAAATGCGAGGGATAATTTATGGGGCTACTAGGAGTAGGGAGGATGAGGAAGGGGGAAGTATCCTGAACGGAAAATAATATGGACGTCAGATCTGTGTGGAAAGTGAATTCTTGTTGCATCTCATTTTGCGTAAATAGTCGCGGTCTGCTTATTCGTATATGTGCATAAATTAGCGGGGCAGTTTATTTTTATTCTCAGTAAAATAAATTTTATCCATGACTGTCAACAGTAGTCTCTATAGACATCCAGAAAACTGCATTGACAAGGGAACTAATAACATTGTTGTCCAAATGGGCTTCATCATACGCAATCAACATCCAAGAATAGTTTAACTGCAGTCTAATTGCGAACGGGCTGAGTAATCGAAGTGGCCTTGCACGCTGTTCGGTAGGTGAGAGAGCGCGCTTGTTATGAGAAAATGCAAATACGAAGAGAAACGCCTCCACGTGTCATGGCTTAAGAGAGAATTAAACACACCTACTTAAGGGCCAGCGCAGTAGAAGAAGAAGCTACGACTACTAAAATAAGCTTCATAGCAAAATTTGAAGCCAAGAATCGATGATACGCCAGTGTTCACCAGGGTATACGACAAAAGCGCTCCAAGGTGCGCGCAGAGATTTTAGGGCTGGTACTTTGGGCCGAAGCCTGACAAGAAACATCACAGTAGACACACGATAGAAGTTTTTGAGATTTAAAGTTTTGCTGGTCATGTTGGAAATAGCGGAGATCAAGGTCGGACCTTATTTTGTAGCCGTACCCGTAGTAAGCAAACCCCAGTCTAACCCCGACCCTAACCCCTAACATCAAACTCCAAACCCCAATCCCTAACCTTGGCCCCTAACCCCTCACCCTGATTCCTCACAGGTACGGTTAGGAAATAAGATCTTGCCGGGATCTAAGGAGAGGCAACGTCAAGATGTCGGAAAGATGGAACTTCAGCGAGAATACCTGAGAACACTACTTGGAGATGATACAGCCTTAAACTACATTAACAATATTTAGAAATATTTCATGCACATTGGTTACCTAAGGTGGTCAGGATAGTGAGAATGAAGGAGAGAGGATATGATGGCATTAGGGGACACTTCGCAGTATGTAGAAAGCAGAGGGAATTAAATTTTTTGAGATTTGATGGCCTCAGTGCATCCTGCAAGCCGACAAATCATGCACATAAAGATGCCAGGAACAAAGAAAAAGGTCTAACGGACAGTAAACATGTAGAGAAGCAAAAAGCGCACA